GGGTTCAAGCGATTCTCATGCCTCAGCCTCCCGAGTAGCTAGGACAACAGGCATGCACCACCAGGCCCAGCTAATTTTTTTTTTTTTTTTTTTTGTATTTTTGATAGAGATGAGGTGTCATGATGTTGGCCAGGCTGGTCTTGAACTCCAGACCTCTGATGATCCACCCGCCTCGGCCTCCTAAAGGGCTGGGATTACAGGTGTGAGCCACCACGCCTGGCCCATTTAGTACTTCTTATATACCAGACATTGCACTGAGCATGTTATAAATATGAATTCGCCTAATTAACACAACACCCAAATGAAGGGGGTACTATTATCCAAACATTATAGGCCAAGAAGTGTTGAGAGTGTAGGTAACTTGCCCAAGGTCATGCCACTGGCCAGGGGCATGGCTGGGACCAGAAAGTGGCTAGCTGGCTCCTAGTCCTTGCTCTTGAAACACCTGCCGCACCACACTGCTGGGAAGGGTGGTTTGTCAGAAAATTAATCTCGGGAAGAATGTATTCAAACATTCAAATAACTAGCAATGTTCTACTTCTCCAGAGGCTGGCCCTGGGGTTATTTTAACCCTCCAGAATATAGTTGCAACTGTGGCTGCATTTCATTAAAACAAAAAACAAAGGAAAAGAGAAAAAAAGGGCTGTCGGGTAACCAAAGCTGTCAGAAAGTCCATGCAATTCACTCTACAGGAGAAACCCTCTATGAGAACCTCTCAATGCCTGATATGCAACTGAATGAGCTGCATTACTTGTCCAGACTTGGAAAGTTCAGAAGCCCAGAGAATTCCAAGGTAAGAGCAACAAGAAGCAAGAAGAAACAGAAGTAGGAACTGACGATCACTACTGAAGCAGGAGACAGACAGTTTCCAAGATAAACCCTAAAAGTACTCTAGGCCCACATAAAGTAGGAATGAAGTCCTGACATATACCTCAAACACCTCTGAGCATCTCAGACCCCAGGGAGAGAAAGACAAGGCATGATAGGCCTCCCTGGGGTTATCAATGAGAGGCCTATGTCCGGTCACACACAATCACACGAGGGCGTGCCAGGCTGAGCTCACTACCCTGTAATGTTCATTAAAATCCTGTAAGGAAGTGGCATAGAAGAACAGCCTGAAGAACATTCAAAGAGAAGCCAGGTTGGCAGAGGGCTAGGCAGCCAGTGCGCACTGTAGCCCTTCTCTGCAGATCAGCATTTACTAAGTACATTACACGTTGGCGTGGCCTTTGCTAACTGCTGCAGTTGTGGTGTTTGATTCGGTGGACCTGAACTTCCTTCAGGAATACCGCCAGCCTGAGCGAGGTCCCGGCCCTGCCCTCAGTGAGTCTAGCAGGGGTCACCCTGAACAGGTCAGTATCAAATAAGCTGTGTGGATGAGGAACCTTTTATGAGGTTTCTGTGGAATTCTCTGATCATGGAATTAACATGGTTACTCTTCACTGTTGCTGTATTTTTAAAAACCTCTTCTATATAAGATTTTGCTGAGATGTACACAAGTGGCATGTTCATATTCAACGGTCAATGTTTGCGTCACCCATACATTTCCTTGTCCTTTTTTTAAATGTAATTTAAAAATGGACAAATTGGCAAAACCAGAAACCAAAACAAATGGTGCTGCAACTGTGGCTGTATTTATACATGGCCTATATTGCTAATTAGCAGCCTATATGGATAATTTTTTAAAGTTCTCTGACGTTCTTGTACGCATCTCAGGTTGTGGCAAGGGTGTTGTTTTATCAGGTCAGGTGTCCTGTGTCTTCCCTGTGGGGAACTCCTTAGAGTCAACTCTGTCGGCTCTTAGTACTAAGACCACTTACATTTCTCCTTGGCAACAGACTCAAAGTATCAAGCATGCTGGTCATCTTGACATGAATGTCTACGCTCATTCCAGGCTCCATTTTGTGCCTTTATCTTTCTGCCTCTTCCTTTTCTTTTTTTCATTTATTCTATCTTGTATTTCCAACTTCTTTGAAGGCCACCTTAAATCCTTTCTGGAATAAGGTCAAGAGTGAATGAATGAATGAATGAATGAACGAACCAACGAACGAAATGCAGGTGCAGAAGCTGAGTTCAGAGATCATCCAAGAGGCAGTTCATAACAAGTTAGGATCTATGTCTCCTGACTTCAACTTAGTGCCCTTTAAATAATTTATATTAATAACGTGATTCGCAATCACCAAGACCCTGCAAATTATATTTAAAATAGTCCGTTTGTAAAAAGAAAAAATACAGATGTTGGATAAAGGAGACTTTTCTGAATAAAGAACACACCAAGAAGATAACAGTTTTGTAGCAGTGGAACAAAAGGAAGTCTTTATACTGTTAAAGCTCCTGGGAGGTGTCAATAGACTTATTTTGATCCCACATTTATTTTATGTAACACTGAGGATATGTCAAATCCCTATGTTAGGTTACAGTAACTACCCCAGAGAAAACATCTCAAATTGTGATTTTTGTAAAGTCAAAGGATGCTAAAATCAAAGTTGTCATCGAGAAGTTGATACTTCAATTGTGTGTCACATTTTATTAGCATGGTATCACAGCCATTTATCAGAACAATATGTTTTCATCAGTCATGAGTTATCACTTTGCTTTGAATGTTCTGAGACAACTGAAAGAAAGTATAAAAAGAATACATAAGCCTGACATCAATTTCCAGAGGGGAAACAAATGAAAAAGTAGACAGTTTAAAAGGTGAAGAGTTAAAAGCTGCAACCTGTAATTCAATTCATTTAAATAACAGAGCCTCTTCTCTTCTCCCTCACAGGTACCGTACTGCCACTTTAAAATTTCCTTTAAAATAAGAGACAGCAGCATAAGCAGTAGAACGAATTTCAAAAGGAATACCTATTATAAAAGATTTATTAGATATTAAGTGAATTTAGAGGCTAACGATTTTAGAAAACAAATTAGAGGCAATACCAAGTTTCAAGAAACAGAATAGAGCTCAAAGATTTTTACAGACTTCATTGCAACCAAAATGCAACTGATCATATTTTCAAAGACTGCAAGAATAAGCAAGAAAGAATCCCAAATATTAGAGCATCATGCACGAAAGTAAAGTAACGCTTTTAGAGGGATGTTTAAACAGACATCTAGGAGCTCACAAGTCCAGACCAGTGCTGCCTTCAAAGCAGATACTTACTAAGTGTGATTGTTTACACTCTGAGAATCCTTTTATTAACGCAGTCAGGGCCTGCAGCACTTTATTTTGAATACTCTTTGTGACAACCAATTTTTACCTTTGGGGGAGTGGGAGCTATGGGAGCTATTTAAGTTAAAAACACAGTGTGATTCTGCTATGAATGGAAGTTTGTACCCCCCAAAATGCTCATCATGGTGAAAGCCTAATCCCCAAGTGACAGTATTGGGCAGTGGGACCTTAGAGAGGCAATTAGGTCATGAGGTTAGCACCCTCATTATGGGATCAGTGCTCTTATTAGAAGTGACAGAAGAGTGCTTTCGATCCTGTCCCACCCACTCTGCCCCTATCAACACACATCAGGATACACTGAGAAGCTGGCTGTCTGCAAACCAGGAAGAACCCGACCATACTGGCACCCTGACCTCAGACTTCCAGCCTCCAGAACTGTAAGAAATGCATTTCTGTCATTTAAGCCACTCACCCAGTCTATGGTTTTTATGACAGCTCAATCTAAGATCCTAAAAGCAACAATGTGTGTGTGTGTTTTAAACACTATTCTAAAGATGATTCCAGGGATGTTGCAACAGCAGACATGTTCATACCATACGACTTTCTCAAGGTGACTTAGTTGTTATGCTATTTTTATACCATAGATGACATCTTGATGATAGTGACGCTACGGCCACCACCACACATTGAGTATCTAATGTGTGGCAGACACTGCTAAATACTTGACATGCATTTTCCTATTTAATCTTTAGAATCCTTATTAGGTATTATTATTATCCCCACAGTATAAAGAAAGAAACTGAGGCTTTGAAGTCCAAGCAAGGTGTGGAGACTCACACCTGTAACCCTAACACTTCAAGAGGCCGAGATGGGAGGATTGCTTGAGCCCAAGAGTTCAAGACCAGCCTGGGCAACATAGCAAAACTCCATCTCTATACAAACATAATTTAAAAAGTTAGCCAGGCATGGTGATGCACGCCTGTGGTCCCAGCTACTTAGGAGGCTGGGGTAGGAGGACTGCTTGAGCCCAGGCAGTTGAGGCTGCAGTGACCTGTGATCACGCCACTGTACTTCAGCCTGGCAAAAGAGCAAGACCCCGTCTCTAAAAAACAACCAAGTCCAGAAGTCACATGGTTAGTAAGTGACAGGGGGGACTGTTCAACACTGGAGTTCATGCTCTTATATTCCATGGTGAAGGAGGTCTTTTACATCTCGGGCTGGGCCTTGGGAACATGTGCTCTACCAGGGAAGCTTGTGCTGGAATTTATTCCATGAGAGAGAGATTGCTGCTCCCAAGGGCAGTCTATTTTATCTCCAGTGATTACCAAGAAACAATGCTCAGGGATGAAAAGGGGGTGAGAAGCAGACCAACACTCACCTTCTAAAATCAGAGAGCTTGCTCTGTACCAGAATGTGAGTGGGGTTGGCCCTGCTGGGGCCAGGACAGAAGAGACCAGTGATAGCAAAATGGAATTTGGAGGTGTCAACTGGATGTATGCTCAGAGGTCAATACCTAATCTCTGGCACAGGTAAAATCTTCTGAAAAGTTGCCAAATCTTAAGCCAAATGATTTTAAATTCAGAGCAGTGATAACTGAAACAGAAGAGTATTTAGGTTAAAATGTTATATAGATAATGAATGACCTTTATAGCATAAGCATGCCTAAAGGTTAACAGCCAGGAATCTGGCCACTGTAATTTTAGGACACTGGGTTAGAAGAGATTTTTATCTGAAATGTGTTCTTCTTGTTCTCTAACTGTATATTTAAATCTTTGGCCTCGCTGAGAAATCGTTATGCATGGTAACCTTCTCAGAGTTTCAAATAAAGATCAAGAAAAATTACCTGGTGGTATTTCTTCAGGATGTTGTGCATTTCGGCCACGTCTTCACTGGTAATGGTCTTGATGACGTATCTTTTGTCATAGGAAGTGTGAAAACGAGCTCCGCTGCGGGCCTGGGAGTCGTTGGGGAGGGGTGCGCTCCTGGTCAGGGAATTCTTCCCGGGTGGGGTAAGAGGGGAAGGAAGCGGGGAAGATAACTAGTTAAAGGTGTGGCTTTCTGATTCCCAGAGCATTTGTTGTCACAAACATTTACGTCTGGAATCAACTGATAAATAGGATGACAACATTTTTACATGCATCGTAACTCACATCGCAAGCCTTTCAGACGAAATGAAAACAGCTTGAATTGTACTATGATTCTAGTATCCTTAAATTGTAGGCAGGCTAATGCCTAGAATTATAATCAAAGTAACTTTAATCACTTTATTCTTCTTTTCAGAGTTGGACAAGATCTCAAAGTTTTCTTCTGAATAAAATTGGGTTCCAGTCATAAAGGAAAATTTTACAGTCACTGAACATTTCCTTACATGACATGTGTGTGCCAAGCATTTTACACAGATTATTTCCCCCAATTCTGGTAACATTCTCATGTAATGGTTACGATTGCGATCATCATTATTTACAGATGAGGAGATGGGGATAAGAGTGGCTTAGCATCTGGGCAAAGGGCACACAGCTAGTAAGGGAGGAGCTAGAATTCTGACTCTGTGGATGGCTCAGGACCCGAGCTCTCAGCTACTACGCAACTAGTAGAGTACTTAACTTGCAGACTGTGCTACCTCTGTGCCCGGGGAGGAGGAGGCAGGAGTCTAGAGAGTGTCTTCTAAAACAGTTCCTTCTTAGGCAATTTGAATTCGGTCCATCTTCCACCCCCTCCCCACCACCAATTTTGAGAACTGCTGATCTCCTGGAGGGTGGACAAGGAGGAGCTCTGATTAGGGGCTCTTCTGACATCATACACTCCAGGATCTGGTTCATGCTAGTGACACTGGCTAGGTAGGTCTATCCTTCTCCTCCCATGTGACTCTTCCATTCAGATCTCCTCTTTCTTACATCCTCCAGGGAGCCTCCTCTTGTCCCAACCTCCCAACACTGGCCGTCTAGGCCACCGGGTCTAGCAAGCCCCGGGCACCCTCATCTCCATCCTTGCTGACTGCTCCTGAGCACTGACTTTCATTTCCTGTCTGGCCCCGAGGAATGGCCTGTGCGGGTTTCAAACACGAACACGCTTTCTCTAACTTCCTCTCTAAAGTGGGCATTCAAAGGCCTCAGTGACAAAATGCTGTCAAGTTAAAGGAACATGGATACCTTCAGAGAGGCAGGTGATAGATAGCTCTGTCCATGGATTTGCAAAAAAAAGAGTCCTTTTCTGTCTAGTTTATTCCAGTCTCCTTATCCTTTCCCTCCTTTCTAGATGAAATCAACAGGACTGAACCATTTAAGGTAGAATCAGATTGCAGCAGTGCAGAGGCTCACGCAGGCCCTACCTATGCCTGAAGAGGAAAGTGCCCCATGAGATAATCCTCATCTTCCAGGATCCTCACCTCACCACCCTGGCATCCCTTGCTGTGTATCACACATTCTGCAATAACACACCTTGATCTAAAAGCAAGCAGGTGCACCTGCCGGATGCAGAGTCAAGGCCACCAAGTAACTGAATTTGCTTTCCTCAGCTTATTAGAAATCTTGAGAGAAGGAAAAAAAATCTACATAATCTTCAGTGAATTTAAATAGCAGAACTTGGCAGTGTTCAAATTATTCTTAAGACAAGCAAAATTTATTAGATAGACTGAGAAGGAAAAAAATGACTTTCAGGATGAAAATGGCTATATTAACAAGAGTTTAATTCTTAATTACATTGTTTTTTTTTTCCCTAAAACATGAACAAGACTCCTTTACACTACTTCCCACTTAGAATAAAAAGGAAGAAAATCAAGTGAATCTCCCCTTGTAGGGTTTTAAATGCTGGCCCCCAAAAGGCAATTATTGCTCTTTGTTAGTGGTCTTACTTTTTTCTCGCAATCACTAATTTGCAAAAGGATATTTCTTCCAAATAAAACAAGAACTCCAGGAACTGTAAGATTGCAAATTATCTTTGGGCATAAAATCAAAGTGGGAACAATCAAGTTTATGAAAGCCAGGTGGAGCAGACCAAGTGGAACAGACCTTAAGCTTTGTCAAACTGACAATACGTGTAAAATAGCTTTGGGGGGGGGTGGAGGGGGGGAATAGTAAAGGAGAACTGTATTCAGCAGAGGATGAAATTCCAGCAGCATCAGTTTCATAGATCGTTTTCTTATGCATATTAGATAGGACAGTATAACATTCTCTCATGGGCCAGTGAGGTGAAAAAAAATCAAAAGCTGCATAGTCAGTGCTTCTCAAACTTAACAAGCAACTGAATCATCCAGGTATGTGAAAGTGTAGATTCAGATCCAGCAGGTCAGGGGTGGGACATTTTCAGAAGTAGACGATGCTGCTGGAGCCGGTCTGCAGACCACACGTGAGAACCAAGGTCTATGGAATGGTGTTTATGCTGTGTTTTGCCAGTGTGCAGCATGTACAGTCTAGTGTATTAGGTACATTATAATCACAGACTTACCGAGACTCATACCTTTCCCATTATAGTCTCTACACCTCTAGTTGAATTAAAATGGGAAACTTTAGAGTTCAGAAGAGTAATTCATGGCATTTACTTTACTAATTAAATAACTGTTTAATAATACTATGTACAAGTACTCATACAATGTATGGAGTTTTATATTTTTATTTTTTGAGACAGGGTCTCACTGTGTTGCCCAGGCTGGAGTGCAGTGGCGCGATCTTAGCTCACTGCAGCCTTAACCTCCTAGGCTCAAACGATTCTTGTGCCTCAGCCTCCTGAGTAGCTGGGATTATAGGTGTATGCCACCAGGCCCAGCTAATTTTTGTATTTTTAATAGAGACAGGGTCTTGCCACGTTAGCCAGGGTGTTCTTGAACTCCTGGCCTCAAGTGATCTGCCTGCCTCAGCCACCCAAAGTGCTGGGATTACAGGCATAAGCCACTGTGCCCAGCCCAACGTATGGGTTTACAAAAAGCTAGAAATGTAAAAGCAAATAATGTAAGAACTCCTTAGCTCAGATACTTATTACCTCTTCCCCAATTTTTTGCCTTTCCTTTCAGGTTCAGAGGCATCGTTATAGTCATGTATGCAGCACTGCATTAGGATACTAGCCATGTCTTCATCCTGGGACAGAACACTTTAAAAATTCTAATATTGAATCTGTCTCAAATCACCATTTTAATCATCACATGAGTAGCCCAACCCACACTATCTGAATATTTCTAAGATTCATGGATATCAAATAACCAATGAAGCTAGGAACACTGTGTCAAAACATAGAATGTACCTTTCATATCACTATGAACATAAAAATACATAAATCAAATGTATTAAAAGCCTTATCTGATAAGACAAGCAGGAAATCAAAAGAGTTAATGCAATTTTACACAAAATGCCTGATCCTTGGAATGATTCTAAGGCCTGGAAAATTCCAACTCTTTATTTTATATTTATTTTCACAATATTCCTGTAAGAGTGGAAAAGCCAGGTCCATTTTCCTACCTGAAGATAAAGAAACTAGTGTACAACGGAGCCAAGCAATATGTCTAACATTTCATGTCTAAAGCTTCCTCTGAGCTAACCAAAAAGGGTAATTTACAAAGAAAAGACTAAACTTCTGCCATTAAAATCACGATCATGACTTTTTAGAGCCTTTAAAATAAAGTAAAATTGTTTATATATTTTTATTATTATTATTTACTTTCCTGCCGTCTCCTAAGACATGAAGCAGACATGTGTTTTTAAAGCAACACAAGCCAAGTGCAGTGGCTCATGAGTGTAGTCCCAGCGCTTTGGGTTGCTGAGGCCGTGGGATCACCTGAGCCCAAGGGTTGGAGATCAGCCTGGGCAACATGGTGAAACCCCGTCTCTGCTACAAATACAAAAATTAGCCAGGTGTGGTGGCACACACCTGTAATTCCAGCTACTCAGGAGGCTGAGGCACGAGAATTGTTTGAACCTGGGAGGCAGAGGTTGCAGTGAGCCGAGATCGCACCATTGCACTCCAGTCTGAGCAACACAGTGAGGCACTATAGTTTTTACACCTCTAGTTCAATTAAAATGGGAAACTTTATAGTTCAGAATAATAATTCATGGCATTTACTTTACTAACTAAAGAAGTGTTTAATAATACTATGTACAAGTACCCACACAACGTATGGGGTCTATATATATATATATATATATATATATATTTTTTTTTTGTCTCAAAAAAATAAAAATAAAAAATAAAGGCAGCACAGTGTAATGGTAAGGATACTGGTCTGGGATCCAGAACATTCATCAGTTCTTGTAGATAGGATTTAGCCTTTTTGAGCCTCAGTTTCCAAGTCTATAAAGTGATGGAGAATAAGCCTGGGGAGAGGATGGGCTGAATTAGACTACCTTGGATCTTTTATGACTCTAAAAATGGATTTACTCGAAGATACGACTCTGCTCTAGAAACTGCTGTAAAGCATGGACCTCAGAAGGTGACTCAGAACAAGCATCCCAAGAAAAAGGGTCCAATCAGAGGACAGTACAAGCATCACCTCAGCCGAGATGAAGGAGAAGATGCAGTGAAAATAACACTTCACAGATTCTAGATGTATTCAGGACGACATCAGCTAGAATGAGCACATGAGCTCAGGGAAGGAGGTCTTGTATTTTTAACATAGTCACTATGCTGCCTCAAAACAGTCTATCTACCAACACTGAATAAGAAATTCTTTGGTGTGCTTAAAGTTCTGTCATCAAAAAAAAAAAAAAAAGACACAGCATGATGTTGGATGCTTAGCCAAGTTGGGGAATCCCCTGAGGGAAACGGAGCTTGGGAATGACCTTCAGGTGCTCCTAAGGGGTCCCTCCATGTATAAATAAATTTCAAAGAGCATTCAAGTTGGAAGCAACCTTGGAGATGATTCCAAAACACACAATATACAGACAGGAAAACAAACCCAAAGAGCAGAAATGACTTGCCCAACTCAGTTCTCCAAATCAGGTGGGCTGATGTACACGGAGTGCCCTGCAGGGGCCCCGCCCAGAGCCTCTATCTCCCCCTGCCATGCTGCTT